ATTCTCTCCTTATGTATTTTCTATTCTATTGTTGTATTCTGTTTATTACAATATGATTTATGTAATTGTGTGTGTTTTTTATATTATTTCACTGTTTTTACTATATTGGAAGCTGCCTAGAGTGGTCTTTTAGACCAGATGGGCGGGATATAAATCAAATAAATAAATAAATAAATAAATAAATTTTCAGCATCTAACTCCTATCTATATTGGCAGAAAGCAGAAAAGGCAGAAAAGCCTAGTTCTTCTCAATTGAAGAGCAGTTTACCTGCTGATATAAGTTCAGTGAGGCACAACATAGGTTCAACACTGCTTGATTGCACTTTAATTTTGAATGAAAATAAATAAATAAATAAATACATTTTCAGCATCTAACTCCTATCTATATTGGCAGAAAGCAGAAAAGGCAGAAAAGCCTAGTTCTTCTCAATTGAAGAGCAGTTTACCTGCTGATATAAGTTCAGTGAGGCACAACATAGGTTCAACACTGCTTGATTGCACTTTAATTTTGAATGACCTGTAATTCTAAATTAGTCACAAACAAAACAAAATAAAATCCTATTTTGTATACTCCAGCTCTGGGAAAATACAAACTCCTATAAATTTTAAAAACCAAGGTACATAAACAAACCTGTATGCCGTCTTTGGTGCCTTTTCAATTGATCAGAACGTGAGAATCTTCGTTCACAGTCTTTAAAGTCACACTGATACGGTTTTTCACCTTAGGGAGAAGAGATTTCATTTAAAACAGGTGAATAAGGTTTGAAAGCACTAAATGAAGATAGATACTAAAATTCTAGAATCATTCTTATTCAGACATACAAATGTACAGTGAATAGTGAGAAACATGTTTAGGTAAGGTGAACATGACCTCAGTAAATTCTCAAAGCTGGAAATCTTGTATAACCAGTCTCCTCTAAAATATGTGGCAAAGGAGTTTATTTTGCCACTGATACAGTGATAGGGAAATTGATGTGAATATTTATGTATATTTATGGCAAAATAAATGTCATACATCAAGCCCTGTTTCATTCTTTTTTTATTTACATTGATATTAGCTCCATGTTCATCTACACATAAATTGTTCTTCAGTTTGAACAGTAGCACGTGCTTGGCTAAATTGTTTTTATTGGTATAGTAAAAACATGCAATATTTGAATATAGTTGTCATTTTAATAAATGACAACTATATTTGCAAAAGAAAGAAAATACATGTTTTATACATTTCTTGTTATAATTGGGAGAAGATTCAATATAATTTTAAATGCCTGGGTTGTTTTTCCCTTTCTCTGAGTTTATCCAAAGTTGGTCCTAAACCTCCAAAATAAATAATGTAGAGTATGAATTCAGAAAAGATCATTGGTGACATAAAACTGCAAGCCAAGTCACATTCTTCCTTTGAAGTGTAAAAGCCACATGCACCCACTTTACTGACTAGCACCAACAACAAGGCAAAGAGATGTTGGTATAAAATGTCTCCCTCTGATGGGGGAGGTCTGACTCATTCTGGATATCTGTGACAGACAGAAGTTGGGTGGATTTCTACATGTTCATCCGCTTAACCTGTCAATCTCCATCTTTTCTAAATTTGAAATTACTCTCCTTAGCATCACTCATTTGACTGTAAGAGAATATATTCATTTTTTGAATAGAATGATGCCACTTACGTTCAAAAATATCTTCTCTGCCTCATAGACGATGAGGCATGAGAACCTATTTGCCTATTAGTCTACGTTTTGCCTATTAACATGACATAAAACAACAGTTCTGAGACTGTGGCCAATCTTTATTTGAACAGCAGCTGATATCACCAATACTAACAGCTCTTCCAAATATACACTGTGCATGATGAGATCAAAATCTAAATGCAACTATTCAATATCTGAACGGAAATCATTGTAACTTCCTGTGTAGTCACCCAAAGGAGTTTACTGACTCTTAAGTTCCTGAAGTGATTATTTCCAAGTCTTTCCGATTTAATTTATTTATGTAGAAAGCTATATTAGTCACCAGTCTTTAAAACTGTTCCTTCCAATCTGACCACAAGTCCTCCCACAGGAGTGGTTGTGTTTTAAATTGAAAGGGATTCTGGGGGAAAATAAGCTTAAATCTGGACAGATATCTGAGCAAGAATGTTGGTAGAACAGAAAGCACTGAGCAAATGATAGTCTCCAAAATGCAATGCCAATACAGTGCTAAGCCATCTGCATTTCAACAGAACAGTGAGACAGGTTTTACATCATTTTCACACTGCAAACAAAGTTCCTTTGTTATCAGTCTTTCTGGAACTTTTACTTCTTTCTCAAGTCAAAGTACAGCTGCGATCTGCTAGACCAGCTCTGACTGCCATGACATGTCATCATGGGAAGTATTCAGAGGGAATGTATCACCCAACATTTTCAGACTATGAGGATCATCACATAACTCCACATTCCTAATTAGAAATTTTGCTCATTAAGAGTAATCAAATAAAGGAAACAACAGTGCCATACAGATATATTTGTCAGGAAGTATATGCTTGGAAACCAACCTACTGTAATGTAACATCATTTTTAGCAATGGGTTTTTAGCAGTGTAGGAAATATTATCATTGCTGTGTGCTGTACTTGAGCAATTGCTGTTAATATTTAAGAGTTATTAAGTGCTAACAGTATGTGAAGCCCCAGCAAAGTTTGGAAAACTTATTGCTTTAACTACCAAAATCCTCAACCAGCATGGCTTTGCAGAACAGGTGATTTTGGAAGCCTTCATCATTGAAGAAGTTACCTCTAAATCTCCAGGCACTTTGCTGGAAGATTATTTATTTTCTTTATATCATTTATATGCCACCTTTCTTTCCATAGGGAATCCAAGGCAGCTTAAAATAGCTCACACTATACAACAATCAACAGTTTTAAAATTCCACATAAGTACCAGATTAAAATATATATATCATATCTCAAGATTAAAACCAGGAAGCAATTGTAAACATTTCAAAAAGCATCTTAAAACTCAGTTTAACAAACATAGCATTCCTGGGATCCTTATTGCTTAAAAGCCTGCCTGAAAAGGAAAGTGTTTGCCTAACAACAGAAGGACGGGTGGTGGTGGTTTCCAACAGAGCTTCTTGGGGCAATGCATTCCAAAACCTGGGAGCAACCACTGAGCAGGCCCTTTCTTGTATCCTTACCAAACAAGCTTGTGGAGATGGTGGGACAGAGATAAGAGCATCCCCAGAATAAATTAAAAGTTGAGAAGGTGCATCAATCCTTCAATTAGCCTGGACCCCAGCTATATAGGGTGTTACAGGTAATAGCCAGCAATTTGAATCAGGCCCAGTGAAGCTATTATACAGTATGTCTACATATTTTTAAAAGGCATTGATTAATTCAGACACATGCCCAATGTGTGTTATTTAAAGGGACAATAAAAGAGAGATAGGGGTAACAAACCAAAACTATGATACTTTGGGACCTTATAGGAAGCAACTGCAGTAGCAACATGCAAGGATGCTGGTTGAGTAGCAAAGGCACATATGCATGCACAAAGCCCAATGTGGTATAATGGATAGTGACCTGGCTTGGGGAAACCCAGGTTCATATCTCCTCTCAATCATGAAGCCCTAGGAAGGCTACCTCCCATCCCAACCTGTCTCCCTGGGTTATTGAGCTCCTAGGAAGACAATTCTGATAAAAATAAGTAACAAGCCTGCATTGCAGACTAGCTCCACTGTGTTCAGGGGACATTTTACAGCTTAATTTCCAAGTGATGAATGTCAGCAAGACTCTTCCCACCCAGCACCAAAAGGCTGAAGGTAAATATCAAATTATGACTGATGAAAATTCAATAAGTAAACATTTACAGAGAGATATTAATGCTGAAAATATGAGGAATGCCAAGCAAGCCAGCTATGAAAATTGTCACCGAGATATTGTGTTTATTCTCCTTTTCTTTTTTTTAATTGTTTGAGGTTACAATGTAAAAAAAAAACACCATTATTGATACTTTAAAATATATATATATGAGGTACCTATAAATTTAGACAAACCACAAGATTGCCATTAGTGCAAACATTCCAGGAAACAGCAGCTGTGTTTCTGGGCTGCTGTCTCCCACTCATTCTCTCTTGAGGCTGCAGGATAAGGATTGCCTAGCTAAGTTATCGTTAAGGGGCATCCTTTCCCTGACCTGCAAACTTTCCTCTTCCTTTTGCCTTTAAAGGGCAAAGACTTTGGCGATAACAAAATACCTTGAAAGTTCAGCTTCTCTACTAAACACTTGATTGGCTAGTCCCAGATCCAAAATGTCATTCAAGTGCCAGTCCCAGATCTGACTTGCAAAGGGTTATAAAGAAAAATGCAAAAAAAATCACTTTAGAAAGTTTTCCTTTCCAATCATCAGAAATGATTACACTTATTGAGAAGGTGATGTTGGTCGTAGTGTAATTTGAAAAATTGTGATTTTTTTTTTTAAAATAGCAGCATTTTAAGGCTTGGGCAAGCAAGCAAAGTGGAAACATTTGTATTAACTTCACAGTTTAGTTTCTTTTCAAACTCTGACCATATGTGTTGAATCTTTTGTCCTTAGGGTCCAAGGTTTAGATCTCCACATATTGTAATACTGTTGTCTCCATCACTCCCCACCATTTCCAAGCTCTCTGGGTGTTATCAGAGCAGCAGTCCAATCCCATACAGAGATTCAAGCTCATAAATATACCTAGAGTTACAGCTGAAGCATCTGGATGCAGAGTTGAAGGTGGAGAGTTCAGTTTCATACTGTGCCTTGTAGAAAGCTGTAGGGTCCCAGAATGCCTCCAAAAGAAGGGAAAGGCAAACCACTTCTGAGTACTAACTACTTAGAAAACTCTGGAAAGGGTTTTTATAAGTCAAAATAGACTTGTCAGTACACAATTATTATTATATTAAGTCTTCCAGAAGGAATGGTTACTGGATAAGACTGTGAAGGCCTTATTCTCAGTTGAAGTAGGAGCAATAGAAAACTGTTCCCCACCCCACAGAACCTCCCCCCAAGCAAACTGTTTAAAATTGTCCTTTCGTAGGGGAAGAAATATTATTCATCTGTCTTACTCACCCTGGTGTCCTCCAGACATGTTAAATTGCAACTCTCATCCTCCACAAACAGCATTACTATTGCCTAAGCTATTGGAGAGGATGAGGGTTAAGTTTTAAAAGGTTTATATAGAGAGGTATTTGAATCAAGTTTTCCTGGCTTTGCTTGGCTTTGCTCTGCTTTGCTTTGCAGACAATGGTCATTTAGGAAACCAGCACAAGGAGCAATGGGAGTTGGGAGCAATACCAATAAAGTCAAGTAGCAGCAAAGACAAGAAGAAAATTCCAGTCAGAACTGACTGAAACTGTATGCAATGGAGCAGATTTTTGACAGTGATGTATGTGTATATTTTAAACAAACTGGAACAAGCTTATGTTTCTTTAATTTGCACACACCATTCCTCTTTCCTTCCCTCCAGAATATGGTATTACTTTCCAAATGAGTTTATTCATATAAATAACTTAATGTGATTCTAATTTTCAAAGTAGCAGAAGCCCTGATACAATAACTTTTTCTCCCATGTGATGATCCAGTAGGTTCATAGTTTGGACTAGAAAGTGGCTTTCACTGGAACAAAGCATCACTTTTTCCTGATAAAAACAAATTCCCAAACCATACATCTAGTTCCAGAAAATTTTGAAACACAAGTCAGTGTTGCTGTATCATGTTTGT